ATTATATTATCTACAAATACAGATAGTTTTACTTCTTTTCCTATTTGGATACCTTTTCTTTCTTTCTTTTCTTTCCTCTTTCTTTCAAATTCCTTTGGCTATAACTCGTGTTACAACAGTGAATAGAAGTATAGAAGTGGTGGGAGCTGGCATCCTTCCTTGTCTTCCTGCTCTTAGAGGGAAAGCTCTTATTCCTTCACTGTCAAATATGATGTCAGCTGTGAGGTTTTCCTAGATGCCCTTTATCAGATTGAAGAGGTTCCCTTTTATTCCTTGTTTGTTGAATTTTTTTTTAATCATGAAAAGGTATTTATTTATTTATTTGTTTGTTTTTTGTCAAAATGCTTTTTCTGTTCTGTTGAGATAACTCCTTTTTGCCTGCTAATGTGGTATATACTACATTGATTTTTTCCTATGTTGAACTACCTTTGCATTCTTGGGGTGAATCCCACCTGGTCATGGTATGTAATCCTTTTTATATGCTTGCTGGGTTTAGTATTTTCTTGCGGTGTCTTGCATTTATGTGCAAAAGGGATATTAAGCTATTGTTTTCTTGTGATGCTTGTCTGGTTTTGGTGTCAGATTAATACTAGCTTCATAGACTGTGAGTTAGGAAAGTCATTTATTTTGTAATCAGTCTTGAAGTTAGTCCCAAATATATCTTAATTCTAATAACAAAGTGAGTTTGCTCCTTTGTATTTAGGCATCTTTTCTCTTTCCTCCTTCCCCCACTTCAGAATAAGGAGACCAAAGTTTGCTTGAAGGCTTAGTTGCCTCTCAGACGGTGGGGAGGGCTTTGCACACTGGTCCCTGCAGGACAGGGGGCTGACAGGTGTGTGTGTCTGGTCTTTGCTTGGCTGCTTCCGATCAGGACTGTGAGCCAAGCCTCTCGACTAGCTCTGTGTTAGAACTCCCTTGTGGGGCTGCAGCTGCTCTCTCCTCTCTGCCTGTGGTAGATGCTGCCCAATCAGATCTGGCTCAGGAAGTGAGGCCCTCCCCTTCTCAGGGTACCCCTTCCCTAGACACAGCTGGCAGCATTCGAATTGCTGCTGTGGAGTTCTGAGCTGGTGACTAGAGTAGAGGCTTCTCACTCTGCCAGCTTTAACCACATACCCTTGGACCAAAATGGGTACCTGCTGCGACAGAGGCAGGACCTTCCTGTCCATTGTTGGTAAGAGCCCAAGAGAAGCGCTCAGACCACCCCGTTTGCAGATGAGAGGCCACACAGTATGCTTGAGTGCACCAAAGCCAATTGGACAAAGTACCTGCAACCAAGCTCCATTGTGTTCAAGAATAGAACATTATTTCCAGTCCTGCTGAAGCACTTTAATATTTCTTCTGCAGCGATCAGTGTCCAACATGAGCTGTCAGGCATTTAAGAAGGGAATAGCTTCCTGTAGGTTTAATTGAAGAAATCAGTTGTGCATGGTTTCTAATAAAGGTTCAGCGTCTTTAATCTGGAAATTCAAAATCTGAAATGCTCCAGAATCTGAAACATTAATTTAAAGTGCCAACATGACACTGGAAGAAAATGCTCATTGGAGTATTCAGATTTCAGATTTTCGGATTAGGGATGCTCAACTGGTAAGTATAATGCAAATATTCTAAAATCTGAAATCCAAAATACCTGTGGCCCCAAGCATTTTAGATGACAGATATTCAACCTGTATTTAAGTGTAACAGAATTGTCCATTTTTATTACTGGTGATCCAGGCCAGAAAGGGGTCGATTCTACTATTAGAAGTCAGGGTGGGACTAAGTGAATTTAGAGAACCTCTACAAAGCGCATCTTTCATTTTCCTCTTGTTTTGGGTGATTATTGTTTTTCTATGGAAATATGGACTATGGAGTTGCCTGTGGTTCTTATTGCAAAGAAAAATGCATTTTCCCATTAACTTATTCTTTTTTTCTCTTTAATTGCAGGACATTTTGGCACAAGTCCTACAGATTTTATTGAAGTCAAAGTTATTGGTAGGTTTGCGTACTTTTTATGTCGTACTAGAAGAAAGCCTTTTCCGGAGATAGTGTAGTAACAGTTGTTTTCTTACAGGTCTTGGAGGATGAAAATGCAAATGTTGATGAGGTGGAGTTGAAGCCAGATACCTTAATAAAATTATATCTTGGTTATAAAAAGTAAGAAAAATTTAATAAATAGATGGTCATAGCCCATAGACATATCCCCTGGGACCCGCAGTGACTGTCGGATCATTGCACACCGAGGGCAGTCGGGAACTCAGCGCAAGGCTGGACGGCGCTAGCTCGGGGTTTGAGGTCGGCCTTTGGTTCCATTTGGTGATCCTGGGCGTTTCTCCAGTGGGCTCTGAGTTGATGGCTTTTTCTTTATTTGACAAACAAGTCTCCTTAAATGGCTCACCTAGAAAGTTTGGACTTTTATGTCCAGATGTCTTGATTTTATTTCACTTGACAAAATTTGGGGAAGCAGATTAAGGACCTGGATTTCCTGGAATACAGATGTTGCTATTAATGGCAAAATGGGAAACGCCACCCCGTGATAAAACTACCCAGTGTTTGGTTAGGGGACATTTTCACAGAGAGTTGGCAGAAATTATTCAGCAGAGGTGAAAGATGCGCTATGTTCTCTACCGTCTGTCTAGGGATGCAAAGCCCTTAAAGGTTGAAAACCAGAAAAGTGGCCCTTATTGCCCACCTTTTAAAACAATAACAATCGGTTTCCTCAACTTTTTTGACAGTAAGAAATTAAGGGTTAACATCAATGTGCCAATGAAAACTGAACAGAAGCAGGAACAAGAAACCACACACAAAAATATCGAGGAGGACCGCAAACTACTGATTCAGGTGACTTTAAGTGTGTGCCCGTGCTGTGTGTGTCCTCCCTCCTGGAGGACGGCCGTGGCGGGGGGACTGCTGGGTGGCTGCTCGATGACAAGGTCCCGTGGTGGCAGAAGAGGCGTGGCCTGGAGCCAGGGCCTTGTCTGAAGAGATTAGACCTTTATGTTGCCAGGCAAAATAGAGTAGTCCTCTTGCCCTAAACGCTGGAAGCAAATAAATGTGGCAAGTTCAACTAAAATGAGAGAGAAGGAGAGTCGTTTAACGGAGAGGGTGGGAGGGAGCTTCCATGGCCTCGAAGATTTAATTTTTTCTCATTTTTTTAATGCGTATTATTGAAATTGCTCATAAGACCAAACATTTTAATATTTGCCACGTTGGAGCTGATGAGACATAGGTAGGGAGAATTGGCTCCCTGCCCACTGTGTCACCTGCAGGATGCTTGTTCCCTGCTACGAAAGTGTAGTCCTCTGCATAGAAATAAGAACATGAGCGGCCTTTGTGCAGATTGTCCTTAACTGTTAGCGCCAGTTGCTACAGCTCTGAGCACACCTGCATTTCTCTGCCTGGTTGTGTAGGCGGCCATCGTGAGGATCATGAAAATGCGGAAGGTTCTGAAACACCAGCAGTTACTTGGAGAAGTCCTCACTCAGCTGTCGTCCAGGTTCAAACCTCGGGTCCCGGTGATCAAGGTACCAGGCTTACGTAGCAGTTGCATTCCATTCTTATTTTAGAGGAGAACAGACAAAAAGTGGATTGGTTACAGTATCATGAAGAAGGGAACTGGCTTGTGCATATGTAGTAGATTTCTACACAAGAGAATAGGCTTCATCTTAACTTGTTATTGAAATATGTGTATAGAGATAGTGCACAGACCCTAAGTACACTCGTGTAACCAACACCCGGGCGAGGAGTGAGACGTTACCCGCACCCCCGCCCTGCAGCCAGTACCTGTGCGCCTGGAGAAAACCACTCCCAGGACTTCTGACACCATAAAGCAGTTCGTCTGCTTTTCGAACGATGTATAAATGGATTACAGAGTACATGCTCTCCCAGGTCTGATGAGAATTTTTTCAACATTATATTTGGGAGATTAGTCTGTGTTGTAGAATCTAGCAATCATTCGTTCGTTTTTATTGCTGTGGAGGCATTCTACTACTATATGAACACACAACATACCTAGTCTACTGTTAATCGACATTTGGCTTATTGCTAATTGGAGGTGCTTAGAACAGTGACTGTAAGCAGGTCCGTCCTTCCGAAAGCACCTGGGTAAACCACAGCCGGGGGGAGCCTCAGAGGGTGGCGCCGACGGTGACTCCCAGGGAGTGAGGAGGCCGCAGTTTGGCTTCTGGGGTCGCACTTAGCACAGGTGCCAGTTTGCTAATGGCTGCCCAGGGGTTGTCCACGACCTCGTTCCCCTGCTGATGGCACTCTGGGAAGAGGAGGCAGTCGCCTGTGGTAGAGAGAGAGGTTCTGGCCCGAAGGGCTTCTCCAGCGCATGACCCGAGCTGCCAGGGCGGGTGCCTGAGGTCAAACTACGTGCTCAGCACAGGCCTCGGGGAGTCCGCTCCCCCTGCGCTCTCAGGACTGGGGGTGCCTGTCGGGGGGGTGGCCCGTCTCTGCTCTGATGATGATCTCTATTTTTTTTCCCCTTTCACTGCCTCTTCCTTTTTTAAAATAACACCCAGAAATGCATTGACATTCTAATCGAGAAAGAATATTTGGAGCGAGTGGATGGTGAAAAGGACACCTACAGTTACTTGGCTTAACCCTTCTAGAAGGGTCTGACTGTGTGACCCGCAGCAGATAGTTCATGACGTAAAGAATGGAAACAACTCAAGTTCGTAGCAGCCAGCCTGCCGCCATTTGGACCTCCCTTTTTAAAACTGAGACCAAGATCCCCATCAGGCGGTCTCAGACTGACATCGAACTGCTCAGGACCGATACATTTCAAGTCTGTAAATACGGACACCAACGCCATTTAACCTAACGTAAGAAGAGGGCAACTGAACCTTCGCGCCGAGGGCTGCATGCTACTGCATTTAAACCAATCCACTGGCTACCTGATGAACGGCTGTCGTCTCAGGCAGCACCTGTAACGTCAGCGGCACTTTGAGAGCGAGTGTGAACGGACCCACGTGTAATCTGCTATGGAAAACCATTTGTATAGTGTGTTTCATTTTTTAATGTGTGAAAATAAAGAAAATTAAAGGATTTCTGTACAAGTCGCATTTGGTTTTGTTTTAAGTTTTACTAATTTCTATATGTAAATAAAAGATACAATGATTGTGCAAATTTATATTCCCAGTGTCTTCCTGTAGTTTAAAAGGGCTGCATTCTTTTGATTGAAAAATGTTTACAATCTTAAAATTTTAAGCCCCCTTGTAATCTTTTTAAAAACATTTATGCTTATTTCTGAGACTTACCGAGTGACTAGAATGCAGCATGAGGTTCAGTGACCACATTTTGATTTTTGTTTAACACTTGTAAGGACTACATGAGTTAATCCTCGGACAACCCAACTAGTAGCCCCCCTCTTTCTTACAGGCGGGGAGACTGAGGCGAGATGGGGGAAGGTGTCAATAGTGAGGAGTGGAGCCAGGGTTGAAGGTGGGTGGCCGGGCTTGGGGCCGCTGGTCTCTGCCGTGCTCTGCCGCCCACATCCAGCAGGCCCGCACGGCACGCTGTGTGCACAGCAGATGACGTGGGGCCTCCTCATCACGCCCTCTGGTTCCAGCTGGTTGTGAAAAGCAGCCAACAGTTTAAAACATCAGCTTTTATTGGGAAAGCTCCCTGGACTAGGGGACAGCGGCCCTCTCCCTGGCCCTGTGCCACACAGAGCTGAGGATCTCTGGCTTTTCAGGCGCCTGCTGGTAGACCGGCCTGTGTTCTTGGCGGTTAGAAAAGTTGTTCCTCCTGGGAGAACGGAGTGTTTGCCCCAATTTGTCCCCAGGAGAGGAGGCCCAAGGCCAGGGGAGTCGCATCCCACCCGCTCCTCCGGTCCGGGGGGCCTGGGAACAGTCCCCTGGGCACCATTTCTGTGCCGTCTGCGCCTCCGCCTGGCTTCTGTGTTCTCAGTCTCGTGCCACTCACTATTGGGCCCCCTTTTGTAGTAATTTCCTGGCCAAAGGGCAGGAGACTGTGGCTGGTGGCAGAGAACTTTCCCCTCACGGCACTTGGGCGCTCCTGTTAGCTTCCGTTTTCCTCATAGAAGCTTAAAAGTTCCTCACAGGTTTCTTACACGGTAGTTACTTGAACATCTTTGGCCAACCTCAGCTGTGCCCAGGTCCACGTCGGCAAAGCGGGGAGGAAGGCGTAGCTGACGACAGCAGCGGACGCTCTGGGGGTTTCGCGGCACAATCTGGCCCCCAACTGGTGAGTTTTTTAAAAGTTTCGTAGGTTAAAAAGTAACGGTAATAGACTCAGCACTTAATGGTTCCCACACTTTTTTTTAGTATATCCCCCTTTTCAAATGATCTAGAGAAGACTGCCAGCATGAAAGCAGGCAGAGTTCCAGCCCCAGACCCTGCTTCCCTCCGACCCTCGGGGCCCCGGGCACCGCAGGCCGACGGCAAAACTGCCCAGCGCGGAGCGAAGCTCCCGCTTGCATTTTTCTGCCCCTGGGGAAAGTATGCTACAGAGACACCGTGTGCCCTCTTTCAGACTTGTGTGTTTGAGTCCCGTGGACAGGAACTATTTTCACAAGGCTTTGCTGGTCTCCCTTCAGTTCCTCCAGGGTCAAGCATGCGCGTGGGTAAGTACTGGGGACTGTGGAAATTCACAGTGGGACACGGGTGCAGCGAGGGAAAGGCCAGTCGGGCAGGTCACCCCCATCTGCAAATGCACTACCTTGTACCCGCCCCCTTCGCGGCAGATATAGATGGACTCTGTCGGTGGGTGTGGAAAGAAGGCAACTCGACCTTTTGCACTGTTATTCCTCCAACCATGTGACGTCCTGACAAAGATGATCCTGAGCTTCTAAAAGTAGGCCAAGAGAACTGAGTTTCACTGAGTCATATTTAGGCCCAAATGTCCCTTACGTGCAGATTAACTGCGTTTCTCTTCTAAGAAATGGGAAAAGGGACGTTCTGTGAGTTTTCAGGACAGCTTAGTAACCCCTGCCGCGCAGCCCCTGCAGGAGTCTGAGCCCTGAGGACTGCAGCACTGTTAAAACCCAGGAGTCCCCCGTCCTCAACCCCTCTACTTCTCCTTGGACAAAATACTTGTAAATTGCAGATGCAACTGGCTTTTTGTCGAGTTATTATTACCAGCTATATGTTTACATAGAATTATCTAGGCCCAAGTACCACTGAACTAATCAAATCTCCAGAAGTGCCCAGATTATCACTGTCGCCTTTACCCATTTTTGAGACTATAGGGGAGCCTCTTTATAAAGCAACCAAACATCTTGGGCAGTGATACTTGCTACTGAATTCTCCAGCGGGAGTCTGAGGTCTGCTTGTCATCCACTCTGACAATGCTTACCTTGGAATCATGGCCAAGGAGGTTGGAAAGGCTGGAAACAAAGTATCACAGCAACAGAAGTTTACCCTTTAATCTGTCAATGACTGTAAACTGCCTCTTTTATAAAATCAATATTCTGCCCTCCGGGCTGTAGGAAAATTCGATGTGGTCTTATCAGAGCTGGGCTCTGCACTAAGCAGATGAACAGGCTGAGGATGTGCCACTGGGTACTGTGGCCGAGGGAAGCGCTTCTTACCCAGAGAGGAGACAAGGCCAGATAGGGCCTCGATCTCGACAGCAAGAAGGGTAGAAGATTCCCTTGGTTTGGACTCTCGTTGTCAAACATGATGCTAGTGTGGACCTGGACTGCCAGCTGGTCTCTGTCACTGCCTTTGTGAGAAAGCAGCCAGGAGCACTAGAATACAGGAATGCAAGCTCCCCAGGTAACAGCTAAGGGAACAACAGCTACAGGACCAACAGGTACCTGGAATTTAAGATATCTTTACTGACAGCATTTCGAGATACTTGCCCCTTACTAAATAAACATGGATACCTGATTTTCCTTTGAAAGAAATCTAATTTACCTCACCCAGGCAGAAAACATACTTCCTCTTTTATGTTTGAATTAAATCCCCTTCTGATGCAGACAACTTCCTGTTTTTCAGGAATCACAGCAGCTTGGCTATCTGGGTTCATTTTTTTTATACCTTAATCTCATCTTTCCAGTTCACACACTTGTCCAGTGGCAGGCCAACGACTTCACCGTTAACAGGTGAGTACCAGGTGTCCAGGTATAGCCCTCACCGGAACTGTTTCTAACCGAGAGCTGCGGGACTAAGCATTTATTCCAACTAATTCCAGTAACTGACTTAATAGAATACTTTAGGTCCTTTCAAAATGTTCACATTCAGATCCTTGTCTTGATCAATCTATGAGCTTAAATCACATGATTTGTTTACATACAAACATGGTGGCCGTTGCTGAATGCCTTTGGCGGAAGTGGAAAGTCAGGACTTTGGCTACAATGAAGGCAAGAAACTGGACGAGGCAGCCAAGTATTGAAAAATAAGAGCAGCTTGCAGGTAGGTGATTATAATTAATTTTTTTATAAATTACTATATAAAACATTCTTGATTGAAAAGAATCTTTTTTTTTTTTTTTGAGACAGAGTCTCACTGTGTTGCCCGGGCTAGAGTGCCGTGGCGTCATCCTAGCTCACAGCAACCTCACACTCCCGGGCTCAAGCGATCCTCCTGCCTCAGCCTCCCGAGTAGCTGGGACTACAGGCATGCGCCACCATGCCCGGCTAATTTTTTTCTATATATTTTTAGTTGTCCGATTAATTTCTCTCTATTTTTAGTAGAGACGGGGTCTCGCTCTTGCTCAGGCTGGTTTCGAACTGCTGAGCTCAAACAATCCGCCCGCCTCGGCCTCCCAGAGAGCTAGGATTACAGGCGTGAGCCACCGTGCCCGGGTTGAAAAGAATCTTGACAAGCAGAACAGTGTTATTTTATGGTGCCTTTAACTTTGCTTGCATAAGTTAGTTTGTGGGCGAGGTGCTACCTGTGTGCCAATGTCAAGCTCTGCTTGCTTTTCCTGGTGTGAATAAAGAAAAATCTAAGGCCAGGCTTGGTGGCTCACGCCTGTAATCTCAGCACTTTGGGGGAGGCCAAGGCAGGATTGCTTGAGCCCCGGAGTTCAAGACCAGCCTGGGCAACATAGTGAGACCCCTGTCTCTGCAACAAAATTAAAAATTAGCTGGGCATGGTGGCACGTGTCTATAGTCCTAGCTACTCAGGAGGATCACTAGAGCCCAGGAGTTTGAGGATACAGTGAGCTATGATCAGGCCACTGCACTCCAGCCTGGATGACAAGAGTAAGAACCTCCTAAAAAATAAACACTAAAGCTGACCAGATCTGATTTAAAGATGACCTTTTATCATATAGGATATTATCAAATAGGTGCAAGTCAAGTATTTCTGGTCAGAAAATCTCAGTGTTCATGGAAGTCATCGAAGAGGACATTTAGAAAAGTACATTTCAAATCATGGAATAGAAAGTTTGCTGTGCATTAAGAACATACCGGACGGTGCTCAGCATCACTGCTTTCCATCAGTGCACCTTGTACTTTGTCTTCCTGATGCAGCTGGAGCTCTGGCATATTGAGCAGCTCATTGGACTCAAGGACCTGCCTCCCAGCTGTTCACCTCTGGGGAAGGGTTAGGAGCTGTGGCTGGAATGAGCCATGTCCCCAGATAGTATTGGCCTGTGTAACCCTTGGGGTTTCCTGAACAGGCTCATGTGCCTATGTCTAAACGAGGCCATTAGGCTACCTGAAGGAGAAATGAGCCGAACAACCAAAGTCCTCTTCAATGGCTGCCCACTCTGCCCAGGGCCATGCTGAGTGCCAAGGTGGACACAAGGTAATCAAGGGCAAGCCCTGGAGTTCTTGTTCTACTTGACCCAGCCACCAACAACCTGCTAAGTGTATGGCGATTGGGGATAGTTATTGAGAGACATAAATTATATCAGCACTGTCACTAAACTGTGGATTGGACTACAAGAACACATGAAGTAGAGACTAGGGCAAGGTGTCCTCATTGCCAAAATTAAGTGGCAAATTAGAACTCAAGTTGCACTGATGTGATAGAAACCAGAGAACGTCTTATAAAAGTTAATGGAATTGGAAAGCAAGGTGAGTTATTTATTTAATGTGAAACTTAATTAAAAGTAACTGTAGAAAAGGCAACTACCAAGTAACTACACTGATTTGTAGCTGTCATGGGGGTACCTGGGAGGGTGCTGGAAAGTTGCCACTGTGACGGGCTGCGTGTG